ACAAAAATAAGTGGTTTAAAGAAAACAAAAAACTGCATCTTCGGGTAACAGAATTCCTTTACTTTTATGTTCAGTATAAAAGAACACCTTTAATTCTAAGAACTACAAGCTATATACTTAGAACATTAGTGTTATAGAGTGTTTTATTAAAATGTTCACTAAAGCATTTTATAAAAACTGTAAGACAATTAAATGTTATTTAACTAGTCCTCATTGATTGTACTTTGTCAGGTTAGTTTTAAATTGAAGAACAATTAATACTAAGTGTGTGAAAATCACTTATTTTCTAGATCATCTTCACTTATGAAAGACCCATTTCGAGGGCTGAACCTAGGTCAGAACTCTAAATTGGTTATTCTATTTTTCATCATATTAAAAATACTTAGTAGTCTTTCTTTCAAAAATAATGTCATATCCTTAATGGTACTATAGGTAAAATGCAGTAAGTTAAACATAGAACCAGGGTCAGATTTACATAAAAGATAAAGACCCAAATTAAAACACTACCTTTACCTTTATGACAGACTGTTTATTATGTCATTTTAACATTTTCCAGAAATAAGTGCATTTTCTTGACAATAAGACATATAAACAAAGCTCTTTAGCCAAGGCCTTGAAAAATTCTTTAGGGGGCATAAATTGTCTAAGTAAGGAAAGAAAGAAATGCTCAATTTCTTTTTTTTATGCAGTGTTCTGAGTATTATTTTCAAAATTTTGTGCTCTTTACTGTTTTTCAATTTTTAAGGTTACTCCTTTACTATGGAAGCATGATTTATTTTCACAATAGCTAGATTGAGATTTCAAATTTTTAAAAATACTCTTCATACTTCAGAATAAAATTGAATCCTAAATCTTAAAAGTTGAACATTCTTGAGATAAGGCATTTAGGTAGTACTGTTTCAGTTCAGTGTTTTCAAAAATATTTTTGTTGAAAAACAACAAAACTTTTAGCAAGCAAAGCATTAAAAAAAGTCCATCAGTGTTTGGGGTAGTGTGTAAATATGTCCATATTTCATCCTGTATTTTTCAAGTACAAGGTCATGCATGCTATTACAAGCGTCATTTGTGTACGTAAGTAATACTTCTGGATTAAATTATTTAATATTTGACTGATTTCAGTAACTGTGAAAATAAAAAAGTTGTTGCATTTGCTTGTGAGCCCTTGGACTGTTTTCTGTACTTGGTGATTGAAAAATAAAAGTATATACTAACATATTAACTTGCTTTTCTTGTAAATTACTACATTTATTTCATCAATTTTGCTTCACTTTGTAATTCATATTCTTAATATATTATTGAATACACGTAAATAATGTGTTTAAACCTACACTTAAACCTGACTATATAGCATATATGATAATGCTTGATTTTCTCAAAGATCCTCCCCCCACCACCAACAAATTGCCAATACTATCTGTGGTTATATTCCTTCATTAATTGTTAGAATTTCCCCTGGGAAATACCACATCTAAGAATGAGAGGTTTTAATACAATCTAATTGGATTTGGCTATCTCTGAATTTCTGTGTTAAGCCTATATATTATAATGGTTTATCATATAAGCTTATCAAGTATATAGTCCTGGGCTATACTTCAAAAATATAGTAAGTAATACATAAGCCATTATTTGCAATGCATAAATATCTGATCAACACAGATACCAGTAAAATGTTCAGATCATGTTAAAGAAGCCCTGTCATTATAAGAAATTGTTTCTTGAACCATATATCCAGTATCATTGTTAGTAATCAATTTACATTATATTTGTACTGTGTGGCTAAGAGAATAAAATTAAATGGAAGGGGGACTGACATTCATGTCAAATTTTAAATGTAGTTTATTTGATAGAACAAAGATTTGGAAATAACCTAATCTGTATTTGTAATTTAAGTCATATTTAAACAAAATGGTTGTAACTGTAGTAATTTTAGAACTTAACATTTTTTTACTGAATAAAATTATTGCTTTAAAAAACTCTAACTTTATTTCATGTGAGAACATAGCATTTCAAATGACTTTTTAGAAAATGAACTAAGACTGCTAAGAGAAAGGCTTTCTATATAACATTGGGCAATTTCTCAATTTGTAAAGTAGTAACAGATACTTGTACTCTTCTAACTAATAAAAACTGAAAAGGATTATGAATAAGTATCAGATTGTATGTTGCTAATGATGTTAAATGTTTTTAAAAAGAATCTATCAATGAACATTTTTAAGTCTAATTTAAAATTTTTTCACACGCAATGGAAAAGTTCATGAATGAAATAATGATTTTAATTCACAGTTAAAATGGGGAAATAGGGTATCACCACCATCACCACTGGGTAGCAGCATTTTGAACATTTTGTTGTAGCCCAGTTGATTTTGAGTCATAATGGCCCTGTTGTATAGGGTTTCCGAGGTTGTAAATCTTTGTAGGAGTAGAAAGCTTCAACTTTTCTCTTGCAGAGTGGCTGGTAGGCTTGAACTGCCAACCTTGTGGTTGGTAGTCCAGTGCATATCCTATAGTCACCACACTCCCATTATTAAACTTTTGTCGTTTTGTTAACTGCCGTGGAGTCGGTTCTGAATCATAGCGACTGGACTGCTAACTGCAAGGTCAGAGGTTCAAACCCACCAGCCCCTCTTTGAGGTTATCAGTCCAGTGCTTACCCTACAGCTCCACACCAGGGTAAGTCTGGTGATGGTAGTAGCTGTGTGCCACTCAGTCACTTCAGACTCACAATGACCCTATATAGGATTTCCAAGTCTGTAAATCTGTATGAAGCCAAAAGCTTCCATCTTTTCTTCCACGGAGCAAGCAATTGGTAGATTTGAACTGCTGACCTTGTGGTGAGCAGCCCAGTTCATAATCCACTATGCTACTAGAACTCCTAGGATAAGTCTACACACTTAAAATTAATAAAAGAGTAAATATGACAGTGAAAAGTCATTATATATATATATATATATATCCAATTTTGCTCTACTTTTAAAAAGAAAAGTGTATTAGTTTAAAGTAGCTGAAATTGGTATCTTTTCCCATTTATAAGAGTTTGTAGTATAAAATGAATAAAGGAAATGATCCTACATACCAATAAAAAGAAAAGCATTAAGCATAGATTTAAAGCATAAGAAATGAATTCTCTAAACAGGTCTGCTGAACATGCTCTGCTTGTAAAGTTCTTGAAGAGCCTGGAAATGGTTATGAAGAATTATAAAGAATCTGGCTATTCTGGCTTCTAAGAGGCACTCTGGCTATACTTCCAACACAGAATTTTTTGTTCTTTTGGCAGTCCATGGTACTTTTAACATTCTCCTCCAACACTAGAACTCAAATGCACCAATCCTTCTACAGTCTTCTTTATTCACTGTCCAACTTTCACATGCAGATGAAGTTATTGAAAATACGATGACTTGGGTCAGGCACACCTTAGTCCTCAAGCTGACATCTTAGCTCTTCAACACGTTAAAGAGGTCTTGTGCAGCAGATTTTCCTAATGTAATACATAGCTTGATTTCTTGACTGTTGTTTCCATGAATGATGGTTGGTCCACGTAAAATGAAGTCTTTGACAACCTCAACTTTTCTCCATTTATATGGATGTTATTTATTGGTCCAATGGTGAGGATTTTTGTATGCAACCCATACCGAAGCCTGTGGTCTCTGATCTTCATCAGTAAGTATTTTAAGTCCTCTTTCTGTCCAGCAAGTAAGGTTGTATCATCTGCATATTGTAGGTCTTCCTCTGATCCTGATGTCACGTTCTTCATATAATCCAGCTGCTCAGGTTATTTGTTTAGCATACAGATTGAATAAGTACAGCGAAAGAATACAACCCTGATGCCCACCTTTGTTGATTTTAAACCAATCAATGTCCCCTTGTTTTGATGAGCGCAGGGTGTGTCTTAAATCAATCTCTTGAGATATAAAAGAGATTAAATAAACAAGCAAAAGCAGACGTAGGCAAAGAGATACTCTAAGCCACATGAAAACTGCCCAGGAGCAGAAGATCAGAAGGTAATAGATTTGGTGCGAGATTTTGGATTTTTAACCCCTTGTAAGAAAATATATTTCTGGCTGTAGGATACATTTGTTGTTAAGTGCCGTCGAGTCGGTTCTGACCCATAGTGACCCTGTACGGGGTTTCTAAGGGTGTAAATCTTTACGGCAGTAGAAAGCCTCATCTTTCTCCCACGGAGCGGCTGGTAGTTTCGAATCGCTGACCTTAAGGTTCGCAGCCCGATTTGTAACCACTACGCTACCAGAGCTCCTTAAGATATACTGGACTATAAACCACAAGGTCAGCAATTCAATCCCATCAGCTGTTCCTCAGAAATCCTGCACACGGTCACTATGAATTGGAATCGACTTAACAGCACTTATAGCCATCATATTAAAAAAAAAAGTGATATTTGTGTTATAGCAGCAGTAAATAAGGCAGATGCCATAATTTTTTACTCATGTATTTTCTTGAAGATGTATTATACAATAGGATATTTACTATGGTAAGAAAGCTATATTTTGAGGACAGAAAACAGCTATCATGGAAAAAGAATGTGAAAACAGTAAATTAACTTGCATACCAAACCAATGACTCAGGTATTCATTTATTTTGATTCTCATATTGGAAGGTATTATTTTATAATTATTGAGGAATTTGATACCTTTGACCAAAGGGAACTTCCTATTTACTCACAGAAGCTTTACTTACCACTACTTACTACTTAACAGTGCTCAAATACAAAGTTAATTGGAATGAAATACACACTGTAAAACACAATGATGACGATAACAGATCCTATTACTGCTACTACTTTTTCTTAAGGCAAACATATCATGTTGGCAGAATATATGGCAGGATTTTTAAAAGTTAAGAAGCAAATACTTACCACTATGACTATTTCATATAGTTTTCAGTTTCATTAGAAATGATAAGAAGTGATTTTTGCCTGTGTTTAGCCCCTTTTAATTTACCAACTCAATGAAAAATAGTACAAGAAAAATCAAAGGCAGCAATTAAAAGAATGGCCTTTAATGAAATATATAAAAATAGAATATTAGATATTTAAATACAATTTGTATGTTTAGTAAGTCAGAGCTTCTTAATGTAAAATAATCTTATGTTTAATATATTTTAACTTATAAAACAATGAAGCCTGGTTTACTTGATGGTAATATTTATGATGCTGACATCCTCATAGGGTTTATCTGTTTTGGGATTGACTTTGACGTTGGAGATCCTCTGCACAACTTCCATTCCTTTAATCACTCGTCCAAATACTGTGTGCTTATTATCAAGCCAAGGCTGTATTGGAGGACAGATGGAAAATCTTGATAAACCTACATTTGTTAAATCTCTGGGTGAGCTAATAAATTAAAGAGATTTTAAATTTATGTCTCATTTTAGTATACAGTTAAAAAGAAGTATAATAATTTAACTTACCAATGTTTAAAAGAAATTTCCAATTTTAAATGAAAAAAAAAGAAAAAGGATAGTATAACATTTAATTAAAAGTGCATTCTTCAGACCAAAGGAAGATGGAAAATGTTTGCTAATGGTAAGTTACTTTGCATGGCTTAAAGAGTTATGGCCCCTGCTTTAAAAGTTTGCTTCAGGAATAGTTATATATGGAATAGTTAAATAAGCAGCATGTGCTCTAGCATTAGATAGGTGGGAGTTCAAATACTCGCTCTTCTACTTGACCCTTTGCAAATGAATCAAGTCATTGTTTGTTTCTTCACCTATTGTTTAAAACTGGATCGAATAATACCAAAAGAATTGTGAATATTAAATGAGTTTATGTACATAACATATTAGTTATAAATACCTCTCTTGTTTTGGTGTTGTTATTAAGTGCCATCAAGTCAGTCAGTTTTGATTCATGACGACCCTGTATAGCTTTCCAAAGAGCAGCAGTCCAGTGCTTATCCTACAGCATCACACCAGGACTCCTGTAAATCTTTACAGGAGCAGAAAGCCTCATCTTCCTCTAGCAGAGCCACTGATGGATTCAAACTGCTGACCTTGTGGTTAGCAACACAACACATAACCCACTACGCTACCAGGGTTCAGTTGTTGTTGTAAAGTGCCGTCGAGTCAGTTTCGACTCCTAGTGACCCTGTACAGGGTTTCCGAGGCTATAAATCTTTACGGGAGCAGAAAGCCTCATCTTTGTCCCGCAGAGCAGCTGGTAGTTTCAAACTGCTGACCTTAAGGTTTGCAGCCCAATTCATAACCACTATGCTACCAGAGCTCCTTACCAGGGTTCAGTACTTGGTGCTTAATTTCAATAAACAAAGTATGTCATTTTATCATTGCCGTCCAATCAGTTCCGACTCATAGTGACCCTGAATAGGGTTTCCAAGGAGTAGCTGGTGAGCTTGAACTACCAACCTTTCAGTTCAAACCGACCTTGCAGTCCAGCGCATTAATCCACACGAGGACTGCTAACAATAGAGCTAGATGGCTTTTAATATAAGTTCCTCAAATTTAAAATGCCACTGAGTATGCGATGTATTCTGAAGTAATTTTAAAACTGAACAATAGTTTAGCTTAACTAGTAAAAAAGATCTGCCCTGAGTGCTATGCTCTTCTAAGAACTATTTAAACAGGATCATATTAACAACAGCAATTCAAGATAACGGTTAGCCAGGAACCTTAGAGGGCACTGAGTTTATGTTAATGACGGAGGAATAACTCAGAAAAGGAGAGTGAGAATGGTTGCACAACTATCAGAATACAAGCAATATTTAAAAATGAAAATGTAGGGGAATATTTTTTTAAATTGGGAATACATATATAAACATGTGTTGCTTGTCTGTTCAGATATCACACTGCATATAATGTGGTCCCATCAGGGGCTTTCTTTAAAAATGGAAATTTTTATCAGTATTTTAAATGCCATCCATGGTAGACAGGTTTCAGCAGAGCTTACAGACTAAGACATACTAGGAAGAAGGCCGACCATTACTGAATGGTTAATCACTGAAAACCTTAGGAATTGCAATGGAATTTTTTCTGGTATAGTGCCGGAAGATGAATCCCTCAGCTTGGAAGGAACGCCAAATAGGACTGAGGAAGAGCTGCCTCTTCAAAGTGGAGTTGACTTCAATGGCAAGGATGGAGCAAAGCTTTCGGGATCTTCAATTGATAAAGTGGCAAAATGAAATATGAGGGCAAACAGCTGTAAACATCCATTAATAATCACAACACAGAATGTATGAAGTATGGATCTAGGAAAATTGAATGCCTTCAAAAATTAAATGGCACAAATAAAGATCGAAATCCTAGGCAATAATGAGCTAAAATGGATAGGTATTGGCTATTTTAAATAAAAATCAAATGGTTTACTATGCTGGGAATGAAGAAGAGGAATGGCATTGCATTCATTGTCAAATACAGCATTCCAAGATATATCTTGAATTACAATGCTGTCTATGATACGATAATATCTATACACCTATGAGGAAAACCAGTTAATACCACTATTACTCAAATTTGTACACCAATCACTAAAGCCCAAGATGAATTCCTCAAAAACAAATTTGATACACTAAAGATCAAAAACAAGTTGCGGGATGACATCAAGAACATCATACAGAAAGGAAGCAAAGGGTCATTAAAAAGACAAGAAAGAAAAAACAAAAATGGACGTTAGAAGAGACGGGAGCTAGCTCTTGAGTGTAGCTTGGAAGAAATGACGATACATAAACGTGTGGTGTAGTGAATTATCTAATGTCTCTTCTACCCATAGTCATAAATCCCACAAAACAACATTTTCCCTTCTAGGTCTGGGTAAGAGAAGGTGGGAGAGGATACTGATAGGATGATATGATTCAACTGTGGATGCTAGCAGTTAATTGTAATTGTAATCGTTAATACTTGAAGCTAGCACCGGTTTAAAATAAGCCATCTCAGAAACAGAAGAGCCAGGAGTGGAGCACGCCATTCGCACTTGAGACCCCTGTGTTTTTATCACCAAGGCCGTATTTTCTAACAACTGATCCTTCCTCTTTGTTTCCAACTTTTGCATTCCAATCACCAGTAATTATCAACACATCTTGATTGCATGTTTGATCAATTTTAGACTAAAAAAGTTGTTAGAATTCAAGTTGCCAGATTAACAATGGCCAATACCAGTCTATTTCAGCTCACTAATGCCTAGGATAGTGATGTTTATACATCCCATTTTATTTTTTACTATTTCCAATTTTTCTAGATTCATACTTGGTACATTCCATGCCCTGATGACTAATGGATTTTTATAGCTGTTTCTCTTCATTTTGGGTTGTGGCCCATCAGCAAATGAAGGTCCTGAAAGGGTTAATCGATTCACATTATCACAGTCAACTTTACTTTGAGGAGACAGCTCTTCCCCAGTTGCATTTTGAGTGCCTTCCAAACAGAAGGGCTCATCTTCCAACACTCTTTATCTGACAATATTCTGGTGCTCTTCATCATGTTTCAATATTCAATAATCTGGTGCTATCAGTGTTCCACTGCTATTCATAAAGTTTTCAGTGACTAAATATTTGGAAGGAGTCCATCTCTCCTCCTTCCTAGTTTGTCTTTGTCTGGAAGCTCAGCTGAAATCTGTCCACTGTGGGTGACCCTGCTGGTATTTAAAATACCTGTGACATAGCTTCCAGAATCACAGAAACACACGTCACCATAGTACGACAAACTGACAGATAAGTGGTGGCGTAGGGCACCTAGGTTTCCTGATTCACAGAGCTAAAGACATTGGCTTTCAGGCTGAGGCTTACGGAGGAGTGGTGTGTCCTGTGGGCATTTACCAACAGCTGACTGGAACAACAGTGCCCTGAGCATTTCTGTCCCTGAATTGTAACCTGTTAACTTTCCTCATAAAGCCTATAACTGTTAGTATGGTATATAAGTTCTGTGTGGTCTTTGCAATGGACAATCGAACCCAGTAGATAGGGTTGTGGGAGGAATGGTTGGTGCATATTTTTTGCAGTTGGTGTCAAAATGGGGCTCCAGACTCATGGAAGCATGAGGTTTATAAGAGAATGGCTGAAAAGGAATGGGAAATGAAATTTCTGTTTCTTAAATGGTTATTTTACTTACTGTTAATTGTAACGGGTGAAAAGAATGTTTGAAATAACGGGTGAAAAGATTTTATGCTCCAGCTCAGGGTAGAAAAGGTACTACTGGAGTTACCTGGGAAAAACATCACTTGGGTGTCATGATTATAGAGAGCTTCTAAGTCCTCTTTCAGCCTATACTTGATTGGATATGCTAAAGTCTTCATTCTAGCCCCAGAACTGTGAGTATTATCTTTGTGTCTGTATAGCCACTGTAATGAATTACTGAACCTAGTGGAGTAGACAGAACTATGGGAAGAATGTTTGGTATTTCACATTTTTTACAGACCTGAACAGAAAATTTCAAAGGACAGTTTGAGAAGACAGTCAAGTATTATAATGAAATATGCAAAGACCTGGAGCTAGGAAATCAAATGGGAAGAACCTACCCAGTATTTCTCAAGCTGAAAGAACTGAAGAAAAAATGCAAGCCTCAACTTGCAAATATTAAAGGAGTCTATGGGCAAATACTGCATGATTATGAAAGCATCAAAAGAAAATGGATGGAATACACAGAAACATTGTACCAAAAAAAAAAAAAAAACCAACAAACATTGATGTTCAAAGAACTCAAGAAGGAGTTTATGATAAAGAACAGATGGTATTGAAAGAAGTCCAAGCTGCACTGAAGTATTGGCAAAAAAACAAGGCTCGGGGAATTGATGGAATACAGATTAAAATCTCTCAACGAACTGATGCAGCACAGGAGGTGCTCACTCATTTATGCCAAGAAATTTGAAATTTGGAAGACACCTACCTGGTCAACCCATTCCAAAAGAGGGGACTGACTGGAAATGTGGAAATCATTGGACAGCATCATTAATATTACATGCAAGTCAAATTTCTCTGAAGATAATTTAAAAATGGTTGCAACAGTACATTGACAGGGAGTTGACAAACTCAACCAAACTGTAAGAGGATGCTGACATCAGATGGATCTTGGCTAAAAGCAGAGAATACCAGAACGATGTTTGCTTGTGCTTTATTAACTATGCAAAGGCTCAGAATAAACTATGGATAGCATTGCAAAGTCCTGGTGTGGCGCTGTGGGTTAATGCGCCAGACTGCAAAGCCGTTTGAATTGCAAGGTCGGCGGTTCAAGCTCACTAGTTGCTCCTTGGAAACCCTATACAGGGTCACTATGGGTCGGAACCGACTCGACAGCACTTAACAACAACAAGCATTGCAAAGAATGGGTATTCCAGAACACTTAATTGTGCTCATAGGGAACCTGTACATAGATCAAGAGGCAGTCATTCAAACAGAACAAAGGGATACTGAATGCTTTAAAATGAGAAACATGTGTTGTATCCTTTCACCATAGTGAATTAATCTGTATACTAAGCAAATAGTCCGAGAAGCTGGATTATATGAAGAAGAACATGGCATCAGGATTGGACGACTCAGTAATAACCTACAACATATAGATGACACAACTTTGCTTGCTGGAAGTGAAGAGGACTTGAAATTTTTACTGATGAAGATCGAAGAATAGTCTTCAACACAAACTGTACTTCAATGAAAAGGATGTAAAGATCCTCACAACTGGACTACTAAATAACATCATGGTAAAGGGAAAAGATAGAAGTTGTCAAAGATTTCATTTCTCTTGGATCCACAAACAATGCTCAGAGAAGCAGCTATCAAGAAATCAAAGGGCATATTCCAGTTAGGCAAATCTGTTGCAAAAGACCTCTTTAAAATGTTAAAGAGCAAAGATACCACTTTGATGACTAAGGTATGCCTGACCCAAGTCATGGTATTTTCAATCCTCTCATATGCATCTCAAAGTTGGCAAATAAATGAGGAAAACTGGAGAAGAATCAATATATTTGAATTATGGTGCTGGGGAAAGACAGGAAGAATATTAATAGTACCATGGACTCTCAGAAGAACAAGAAGCTATCTTGGGAGAAATACAGCAGGAATGCTCCTTAGAAGCCAGGATGGTGAGACTTCATCTCTTGTTCTTAGGACATATTAACAAGAGGGATCAGTTCCTGGAAGACACCATGCTTGGTAAAGAGGAGGGTTAGCAAAAAAGAGGAAGACCCCCAAAGAACTGGACTGACACAACAGCAGCAGCAATGGGCTCAAACTTAACAATAACTTTAAGGATGGCACAGAACAGGCCCATGTCACTAAGAGTCGGAACCATATCAAAGCACTTAAGAACAACAGTGGTTTTAAAGAGCCTAAATCCAGACTTGTAGCAGTGGACCACAGGTGGGATGAAGGCTGGTGAGGAGGAACACATGGTTCTGGGCATGGGTACAGGCTTTCCAGTTTTGTTTCATGGGCATGAGGGGCTGGGTGGGCTCAGCTTCCTCCTCATTCACTTCCTCTTGCTCTCTCTTTTCACCACCCTCTCACCGCCACTTTCACTGCCAGCACCCTTTCTCTGGTGTCTGCCAGCAGCTCCTGCAGCAGCAATGATGAGGACAACTGGAAGTTTCTAAAAAGGTGTTCATACAACATCCAAATCACGTAACATCCTAGAACATTGTGGACGCTGAACAACGCATAGCTGTACTCTAATCCCTCCATTCTGAAAAGTAGACTACAGCACCAGAACTGTGAAATAATTCATTTTAGACTGAACAATTAGTAGTGGCAGAACTGAAACAAACAATATCATGACTCACAGTCCATTGTATTTCCTACTACTGGGAAGCATTGTCTTGCCATATAAATGTAGATTTATTAGGTAATTTTAGTATCTTTTTCTCTAAATTGTTTATTAGTTTTATATCCTGATTCACACATACATAGCAGAGAATAATTTGGCTCTCTTCCACTGCATTCACTCTCTTAGACCATAGCATATGAATCTCTGGTTCATAGTGATTATGTACTTACTGTTGGTACTACTGTTATGAAAAACTGGGATCCATTACTATTTGATCCAGCATTGGCCATGCTTAGTGTATATGGTCTGTCATGTCGTAATGTTGAATGAAATTCATCTTCAAACTCTCCTCCCCATATGCTTTCTCCTCCCATACCTGTTCCTGTTGGATCTCCAGTCTGTATCATGAAGCCCTTAAAGAAAGTACACAAAAAGCACATTACATTATGTTTTTCTAAATATTCATGCATTGTTATCGTGTGTATTTCTTCTGATAGTACTTTGAATTCAATAAAATCTTAGCTTCCTTAATGCTATTAAGTGACCCAATTAAGCTCTTAGTGGTGTTGTTAAGTGCCTTCGAATCAGTTCTCAATCATTTCCTTTAATTTGGATGAAGTATTCCATTGCGTTACCACCTCCTTGTTCGCAATAATCAAAACAAATATGCAAAGTTCTGCTCATACATATACATATGTACTATCTCTCTGAATAATTTCAATAAAAGTGGTGGTGGTAATGGTAGTATGCCGTGGAGTTGGTTCTGACTCATAGCAACCCTGTATAGGATTTCCAAGGTTGCAAATCTTTATGGGAGCAGAAAGCCTCATCTTTCTCCACAGAGCAGCTGGTAGTTTCAAACTGCTGACTTGAGGTTAGCAGCCCGACTCATAACCACTACGCTACCAGAGCTCCTTTAAATAAAAGTAGTTAATACTATATTTCATAACTATACAGTGCCTCTTACATAATTGTGCATGAAAATAAAGTTTTAATGTGTTTACATTTTTACTTCACAATTATAGGCATACCTCATTTTACTGCACTTTCCTTTATTGTACTTCGCAGATACTGTGTTTTTTTACAGACTGAAGGTTATGGCAACCCTGGGTCTAGCAAGTCTATCGGCACCATGTCTCCAACAGCATGTGCTCACTTCATGCCTGTCACATTTTAGTAATTCTCACAATATGTCATACTTTTTCATAGTGCTATTGCATCCTTCATAGATTTCAGTATAATACAAGCATATCTATTATATGCACTGAGAAACCAAAAAAAAAAAAAAAGAAAAAGTCTACGACTCACTTTACTACGGTAATTGCTTTCTGGAACTAAACCTGCGATATGAGTTCACTATCTCCAAGGTACTCTGTAAAGGGTTCTTTGACTTCTACTAGTTCTTCATATACGTAAGCACTCATCACATTCATATGCCTGTCCGTTTGTACCCTCCTACTGAGTCCTGGAAAGCACAACAACCTACTTTATTCACACAGCCCACTACTAAGGAGTTCCAGTGTGGTACCCCTTAGAAACCCTATACAGGGTCGCTATGAGTCCAACCAACTCGAAGGCACTCAACAATACTGTGATAAAGGAATTTAACCTATGTTTGTTGAATAAGAGTATCCACCTTTCACAACTGGAACAAAAGGCATTGGCCTTTGTTGTAATTCTACTTCTCTTACAATTTCATCAGTCATCTGCAGGATGTCTTGCTAATCTTCTTGCTCTTTTCCCACTAAAGTTCAGTCTGCTAATTTTTGTCAGTTTTCTTATTTGACCTTACTGTTTTTATTTTCTCCAACAAATACCTTGGATTTCCTCAGCCACTTCACTAATTTCTCCTGTTGTTAAGTACCACTGAATCAGTTCCAACTCATAGTGACCCTGTATAGGGTTTCCGAGGCTATAGACATTTGTGGGAACAGAAAGCCTCATATCTCTCCTTCGGAGCAGCTAGTGGGCTTAAACCACCAACACTGTGGTTCACAGTCTAGTGCTTATCCTGCAAGGTTAACCTGAAATCTAACTTTTCCTCCTGTCATATCTGTCCTGTCAATTACCAAGAACTCTATCACTGCCCGGGTAATTTATGGATTGCTGTTCAACAAATCTCAGACTGAGTTCATGCTGCTCTTAGGTGGCTGTTACAGAATGGGTGACGTCAGCGTTCTTTTACTATTTAAAAAATATTTTAGATCTAAACCTAGCCAGCCACTAGGAATGTTACCTTGGCAATTGGTTTTATCTTAACATGACCTTCACCCTGCACTCATTGTTTATCCTTTGCTTATTTGATTAAAGGAGCCCTGGTGGTGCCTTGGTTAAACTCCATTGCTAACACAAAAGTTGGCAGTGTGAACCCACCAGCTATTCCATGGGAGAAAGATATGGGCAATCTGCTGCTGTAAAGATTTACAGCCTTGAAACCCTATGGGGTAGTCCTACTCTGTAGCTCTAAGTTGGAATTGACTACACAGAAATAGGAGTTAGCTGCTTACAAGATATTATTGCATTGTTTCTTAAAAGAAAGCCAAGCTATTATACCTGTTTTTGCTTCTACATTTGATATTCAGGACCACTCATTCTTTCTTTGGCTGTCATAATCCATTTTCCTCTTCCTTTGTTCTAAACTCCTAAGTGTGAATGAATGGGCTATACCTCTTTGTTACACAATAATGTGTGCTGTTAGTTATCCTACTCAGCTGTGACTCAAGACAAACTTCAGTATAACAGACTAAAACATTGTTTGGTCCTGTACCATCTTCCTAACAATGTTTTAATCTACTGTTGCGACTATTTATTTACAATAACATACTATTCCTTAAATCATAAGAACTTTGCATAACTTACCTTAATTATACGGTGAAATGTATGCCCATTATAATAACCATTTCTGCTATGAACACAGAAGTTTTCCACTGTCTTGGGGCACCTAATAAGATATATATTAAAAGTGAGAAACCTAGCCAAAACATCTTAAAACCATTTTCATTGCAGTTCTGCTTCATAGTATTTCTAGTGTCTTCTGAATATCTTAGAAGGACAATATTTTTTTCATACTCTCTTTACATCTCAGGACAAGCAAGATTTGAAAGAGTATGTAAACAGTAGTATATTTTAACTTTTGTATGTTTAGATCATGAAAGCTTGTTATTTTTAAGTTTGACAGGTTTAGATTTCCAAGTCATTTAGCAGTTTTTAAAAAAATACATAGTTTACCCTATACAGTAAGTTTCTAGAAAAGGTATTTTTCTTATATTCCTGAACAAGAACTCATTCACAGAAATAAGAGCTCCTAAATTTAATCAACTATGAATGATAGTGACTAAGAACATAAAGTCTTCTTAATAATATTAACTAATCTCATGAAATGTCTCAACGTAGTGCATTAAAATGTAACAGCTCTCAGAGCTGGGAACATAAGGGGGCATCAAGACAATCCTGTACCAAGCACACCAGGAAAGAAGCTTACTAGGGTTAGGATTTGAAAAAAGGCTGTCCAGGAGTCTAGAACTGTCCAGTCCTTTACTCACTGCCAAGATGTAGTATGACAGAAACATTCACCTTCAAAACACAAAGGAATTTTTAAGTACTTTCTAAAGAAATGAGAAAAAACCCTTTGGCTATTGAAACTCTGGAATTCTTTAAGCACATTTTTTTTATTCAGCTCTCAGTAAAATAGAAATCTCGCTAAAGAAGACTGATTTTTTAAATTATTATTTTAAATTACAGTCCTTATGTTTTTGGTTGGAACTAATTGTTAAACCATATAGCATAGTGGTGGTGATTATGTGCTGTGGAGTCGGTTCTGACTCATAGCGACCCTGTATAGGGTTTCTGAGGCTATAAATCTTTACAGGAGCAGAAAGCCTCCACTTTCTCCTACAGAACTGATAGTAGTTTTGAACTGTTGACCTTGAGGCTACAGCCCCATTTGTAACCACTATGTTACCAGAGCAGGAGGAAAAATAATTATTCTTCTCTTTAAGATATGAGTTGATAAGAAAGCTAGTTAAAATAAGTCAAAAAACCTAAGAGTTGGGATGTCCACATAATAGTAACAACTCTTCGGAACATTTCACTTTTTCAGATTTCTTGAGGTAAAAGTAACAAGAATTTTAAGTTGCATAATTTCCTAAGCATATTTATACTGGTGTTTATTTAAAACAAAAATAGTACCTACTCAACTGGGAAGAGTTTGATGTGAATGTCTCCCATGCTTGTGTGGATAATGGCACTATCTGAAACTCGCTTAGGTCCTTCAGCTTGAGTAGCTGCCATGACTTCTTCTTTAGAAGGTTTTTCATTAAAAACATCTCGGTCAGAATCTGCACTTTTTGTATCTTCTGGTTCTCGTTTGGTAAACTCAAGTATAGAAATAAAATGTGAGTTAATGCATTAAATTTTTCATTTGTTGAAAAACTTATAAACAAGAAAATTCCCTTTCTATTGAAGCTTTTGAGCAAAGTAAGAATTCACATTAGAATAAGTCTTTCATTCAGGAATCACTCTTCACCAAAGGACCTGAGAAACGGTCAAATTAGTGGGAGCACGGTGGCTCCATAGGATAAGCACCAGACTGTGAAGCACACGGTCCGAAGTTCAAACTCGCCAGCTGCTTTGCAGGAGAAAGACAAGGCTTTCTGCTCCCTCAAAGGTCCATGGTCATACCACCCTGAATGTGTCTGATTTTATCTGATCTCAGAAGCTAAGCAGAGTTGAGCCTGGTTAGTACTTGAATGGGAGACTGCCTGGAAATACTGGAAGCTGTAGGCAATTTAAGGAGCCCTGGTGTGGCATTGTAAGATAAGCACTGGATCTCAAGGTCCATTTGAACCACAAGGTTGGTTCAAATTCGCCAGACGCTCCTTGAAAATCTATACAGGGTTGCTATGAGTCAAAACTGACTCAACAGCACTTCACAACAAAAACAAAGATTTAAAGCTTTGGAAACTCTATATGGGTTACTATGAGTCACAACAGACTTAAGAGCAATTAACAACAACAACAATTATGAAAACAGAGCCCTAGTGGTGCAGTATAATAAACACTGGACTGCTAACTGCAAGGCAGGCAATTCAAACCTATCAGCCACTCTTGTAAACCCTAGGCACTGTCACTATAAGCCTTTTGGGTAGGAATTTCGTTGGGGATGCATTCAATAATAATATGGTTTTGACACAGTTCTTTATTTCTGCTTATACGAGGGGGCTTCAAAAAATTTGCAGAAAAATGGAAATAAAAGAGAATGGAATTTCCCCACAAAGTTTTTGAAGCCTTCTTATATGTACTAATTTACCATAAGATTGCCTGTGTTTGAATTTCATCTCTGCCACTTACTAGTTATGTGCCTTGGGAGATGGTAAATGGGAAGTTAATTTCTTCAGTTTCTTATTCACAAAATAGGAATAATAGTACCTACCTCTTATGGAGTACTGGTGTGGCATTGTGGCTTAATGCGCTGGACTGCAAAGTCGTTTGGCTGAAATGTCAGCAGTTCAAGCTCACCAGTCACTCCTCAGAAACCTTATACAGTGTTGCTATAGGTCGGAACCGACTTGAGGTCACTTAACAACAACAACCTCTTATGGACTCCTAGTGTGGTACTGCAGGATCAGCACTGGACCGCGAACCACAAGGTCAACAGTTGAAACCTACCAGCTACAACTCGGAAACCCACGTAGGGTTGCTGAATTGGAACCGACTCACCAGCACTTAATAACAACCTCTTAATGGCACCTGTTGTGAAGATTAAACCAAGTGCTTATTTAGTGCTATTATTATTGTTGTTGTTGAATGCCATCATGTTGATTCTGGCTCATAGTGACCCTTTTTAGGGTTTCCCAGAAGCAGCTGGTGGGCTTGAACCACTGATCTTGAGGTTAGCAGTCCACTGTTTATCCTACAGTACCACATCAGGACACCACATAGAAGGTGTAACATAAACGTTAAAAAAGTGTTATTACTACAGTTTGTAAGACCTGGCACAAGGTAGGATGAAGATTCACATAAATTTCATCAATAATGGATCTTATGCTTTTTTTCCCTTCAGAGCTTCATCTGAATGATCTAAACCCTGAGGCCTGGGAGAAAGGTTGCAGATTTTGAGTGAAATTGCTATAAATCTCACACTCCCCATGGTACAGGAAGAAACATGAAAAAACCTTTGTTTATTAAAACTGGAATTCTCAAGCTCTTTGTCATTTATTTGATTATCAGAAAGTAGAATCTTTACTATAGATTTCTGAGGTTGTTGTTATGTGCCGTGGAGTCGGTTCCGACTCATAGCGACTCATAGTGACCCTGTACAGGGTTTCCGAGGCTGTAAATCTTTACAGGAGCAGAACGCCTCATCTTTCTCCTGCGGAACAGCTGGTAGTTTCGAACTGCTGACCTTGTGGTTCGCAGTCCAATTTGTAACCACTACGCTACCAGAGCTCCTTAGGTAGAGCCTAAGAAAGCTCTACTTGATGCCAGCTGGAGTGGAGGAATGGAGTGGTACGCTACCAAGTCGGTTCCGACTCACAGAGGCACTGTATAGGATTTCCAAGGCTATAAATTTAAGGGGAGCAGAAAGCCTCATCTTTCTCCCAAGAAGGGGCTGGTGGATTAGAACTACTGACTGTGTGGTTTGAAGCCCAGCTCATATATAGAGCTAGTTGCCTAGTCCCTGACTTGAATTTTTTTCCTTAATTCACTTGGATAGAGTGCAAACAAATAAGCAGGTTGGGATGCTATTGCTTTAACATGTTTTTCTCCAGTTTTTAAAAGGAATAACACTACATCTATTGTACTACTTGTAAGAATTTTATAAAAAGCTATCTTCATTTAGCTTACATAGACTACTACAGCTCAAGATTTGAAAAATAAAACTTGTATTTAAATACAATACAGATATGTCCGATGTATTATGTGTATCTATTCAGACTGAAAGAAAATTTATGAAAATGTTAACTGCATAAGGAAGTACTATGAATGATTTGTTTTGTTTTCCTATTTCCTTAAACTTGTTTTCCGGCTTTTCAACTTGTTTGGTTTCTGTTATCTCCTCTTTCCCATCTTTCCCTCCAGCTGCTCCCATTTGTAATGGAAATGTCTATCTTTAGAGTTTATCATCATTGTACTTTGGAAGCAGAGAACATGTATTCTAGATTCATAAATAAAGGCTAATGTAGAGAGCTGGGATGTCATTAAATGGCAGAGAGATAACAGTCATATTTGAAATTAGAAATTTCCCTGGCTGCAGTGTCTAGTCTAGGATGTAAGGGCAGAGTCTTTATATTTTAGATTTTTTCTGCCTGGGTAAACAGAAGAGTTCTATTCATAGATAGTATTAGTAGTTGGATTTTGAGCCCAAGTTAGTATAAAGTTCTCTGCATTTAGCTATGCAGAGAAAAAAATAATTCCTCAGGAAAAATAAAATTCTATGGTAGTAACATTGCAATGGAGTTAAAGTCTAAAAAAGGAAATTCATTTAAACAGGGAAGTAGTGCATGTTCAAGAGAGAGAAATGACATTCAAATGTTAAAGCTGGGGAAAAATAAAAAACTAAAAAGATTTTTTAAATCCCATGTTGTTAGCTGCTACTACATCTGACTCACGGTGACCCCATACACAACAGAATGAAACACTACGAGTCCTGCCTGGGCCATGCCCATGATTGGTTGCAGATTGGAGTACTTTAACCACTGGCTGATTTTCAGTAGATTACCAAGCTTTTCTTCCTAGTTACTTTAAAACTAGAAACTACTGAAACATGTCCAGCATCCTAACAACATGCAAGCCACCAATGACCCTGTGAGGCACTGGCTAGGAATCCAACCCAGACCTCCTGCATGGAAGATGAGAATTCTACCACTGTACCACCAATGCCTCATGCAAAAGCTATTTTGGATATAATAAAACTCCTGGTGCAGCACTGTGAGTTAATGCGTCAGACTGCAAAGCCGTATTAACTGCAAGGTCAGTGGTTCAAGCTCACCAGCTGCTCCTTGGAAACTCTTACAGGGTCACTAATGCGTTGGAACCAACTCAACGGCACTTCACAACAACAACAACAACATGACCACTTACCTGACTATCAACTTAGACAACAGAAATAGCTGTAAAAGTCAAGATGAAAAAGTTCAAAACAGCATGGAGACCATACAGAAGTGCTTAAAATCAACCCAGTTTAAAAGTCTACAATATTAATGTTGGTATTCTCATTGTTTAGAAAGTCTGATTTTACTGCCAACATTCTCTTCAGTTGAAGTCACAAGTTAAGAAAATAAAACACCAACCACACAAGAGAAAACAGTCAAGGACCGTCTTGTAGTGCTTCCACATACCATATAAAACCTATTCTTTTTGAAAGATGTACAGACTATTGTTGGGTCAGCCTGAATATTCTGAAGAACAGGGTTTTCAGAAGCTTTCATCTCGATAGTAGTGGCCGCACGATGTTTTTTAGCTATTCCCTGGAACAGAGCCAACTGCATCACTCTAATGTTTTCTTGCTTGCCTAAGATCCGCACACACCTGGAAAATACCAGAATGTTTTACATCATAAAATTACTAAGATTAACTTCACTCATAAGAACTTTACAGATAAAAGTTATCAATTATGTACTAAATAACTAGTGAAAGGTTTTTTAACAAATAATATTGTTTATTTTAAAAATTCGTAGGTAGTTTAAAAAATATAATCCTTCAGTTACAGTTTTAACCTAGCCCTATTATTTTAATCTTTGTGTAAGCCTTCAAAGATTTGTATTGCCAAGAACTACAATATCAATACAATTATATGGGGAATACATAGCACAGAGTGGTTACGAATCGGGCTGCGAACCTTAAGGTCAGCAGTTCGAAACTACCAGCCGCTCCGCGGGAGAAAGATAAGGCTTTCTACTCCCGTACAGATTTACACCCTTGGAAACCCTGTACAGGGTCGCTATGGGTCGGAACCGACTCGATGGCACTTCACAACAAACAACAACAAAAATATACCATAAGTTTTTTCATTTACATTCAGTGATAGTATCTGATTGTGGCTATTTTGTACTAAGACCAAATAGACTGTTTGCACAAAAGGCTTATTGTGGTTTTATGCATTTTAACTTCTGATTTTATGTCTAGCAGGATGTAATGCTGAATTCTGCGGTTACAATATTTGGCAACATTTAGCATGAACCAGGCTAATTTAAATCAGTAAGAAAAAGACAAACTTAAACTTGTCAAAAAAAAACAAAACAAAAACAAAACTTGAAACTGCATATCTTTTTTTCATTTCTTTTATAAACATGAGTGGAAACATTTTACATAAGATTAGAAACAGAAAAATCCAATCAAAACATTTGGTTAAGTTTAGACATTTGGGACTATTCCACTTATCTTAGAGCAAACAAAACTTCCACTGTTTCCCTGAAGGAGAAAATGGTCTACTATAAATGCACTTTAAAAAAAACACATTAAGTTGAAGCTTACCGGTTTGTTTCTACATTTATGACTTTAATGCCTAGCATTGTTCCATACAGCACAAAATGTCCAGTTTCATCAAAAACTATATTAATTAATCTTACTGCATCCAACTTCTCCAATTCGCGTTCTACAGCCATTCGTCGGCCAAATTCCATGTCTGGTAGCTGCTGCCTTGTCTGCTGCAGTTCAGTAAACATCTATGAAACAAATCCTTTATTAACTAAAAAAGCTATATGATAAAGGGAATAGGAATTAAAATAGAAGCAAACTACACATTAAAAGCCAGTTACCAAATAGTCTGTGTACTTATATATCTTCTTAGGTGGGATTCTAAACACTATGAACACTAAAAAAGTCACCAATAAGATTTTGCATGAAAATAAAATAAAATAATACTTTACACTAACTGATTGTTCTAATTAAAAAAGAAAACACTTGGTTAATTACTGCTTTCTCTAAACAAATAATAAAACATCTTTCTGCCTTTTACTAGCTATTAATGTTGTTAAATGATATCGAGTCGATTCTGATTCATAGAGATCTTGTATAGGGTTTCCAAGGAGCAGCAAGTGGGTTTGAACTGCCAATCTTGGGGTTAGCAGTCCAATGCTAGTTCTACACAACCACATTGTTGTTGTTAAGTGTCGTCGAGTCGGTTCCAATCCACAGCGACCCTGAACAGGGTTTCCGAGGCTGTAAATCTTTACAGGAGCAGAAAGCCTCATCTTTCTCCCGCGGAGCAGCTGGTAGTTTCGAACTGCTGACCTTGTGGTTCACAGCCCAAGGTTTGTAACCACTATGCTACGAGCTCCTTCACATTATGATTCCTTTAAAAGCCTCAGACTAGTACTTTCCAGTGAATATATAAGTAGTTGTTAAGTGCTATTGAGCCAGTTTCGACTCATAGTGACCCTGTATAGGGTTTCCGAGGAGCAGCTAGTGGGTCTGAACTACGGAATTTGTGGTTCGAAGTACAGTGCCACACCAGGAGTCCATATAATGTAAGGGACAAATACAATTTTCTAGGAACTACATTAAAATTTTTTTAAAATAAAATTGTTTTGTTTGTTTTTTAACCAATTTATCAAAAACATTATTATTATATCAACACTGTTGTTGTGTCAAGTCAGTTCCGACTTAAGTGCCCATGTGTAGTGTTTCTGAAGAGCAGCTGGTCGGTTTGAACTGCTGACCTTGCAGTTAGCAGTTCAGTCCTTATCAGAGCATCACACCAAGTCCAATTTCAACAGTAAGCAATACAAAAAAATTTTAGATGACTTTCATTCTTGTTTTCATATTAAGTCTTTGAGAGCAAGTGTGCATTCTGTACTTCCAGAACATCTCAATTCAAACTAGCTACATTCCAAGTGCTCTACAGCCACATGTGGCTCGTAGCATTAACCCGCGGTGCCACACCAGGACCCCTATAACCAGGGAAACCCTTATGCGTAAGTTCTACCTGTCTTATAGGGTTGCTGAGGTGAAACTGACTTAACAGCACTCAACAACAGTAACATACTAGGCTCCCAGAAGATGTAATGCTAATTACATTAAGTTTCTAGACATTCAAGGCATTAAACAGCAGGTTTTAAAAAGGTTCCCCATTACAGATGAAAATAACCTAGACTTACGGCCCATCTACTTCTATCTTTTCTTAATGCTTTTCTTAGTTGGAATTCGCCTCCAATTCTTTTAGATACGGGAAGAAAAATATACAAAACTCCAAAAATTAAAAGGAAGCATGTGTATTAGGGTAAAAAAATTGTAGAACAAGTAAAACATCCAGTCCTTAGGATCTCGTCTCCTGTCTCAAACAGACAGAAAGTCTGGTTATATATTACTTACCTATGTACCATGGGTAACCCAAAACACTGGACTGCATTTTGTAGTAGGGGACTCACAATTATTTCTGCTAGAGGAAGACTTAGTTCCTAAGAATTCAAGTTTATATGTAGTTATCTGCCCACATGTTGCTGTATTGTTAAGTACCATCAAGTCGGTTCTGACTCACAGGGACCCTGCATAGGAGGAGTGGCTGGTGGGTTTGAACTGTCGACCTTTGCAGCTCAAACTAGCCTTGTGGTCCAGTGCATTATCTTTCAGCACCACACCAGAACTCCCATATATGAGTATTTTATTAATATTAGTTCAAGTTGATAAACATATTTTCTATTAAGCCTTGTTGTTGTTGTTAGGTGTCGTGTATAGGGTTTCCAAGGAGTGGCTGGTGAGCTTGAACTGCTGACCTTGCAGTTCAAACTGACTTAGCAGTCCAGCGCATTAACCCACAGCACCATACCAAAACTCCGCTATTAAGGCTAGAAGACTTAAAAAAATAAATCAAATGTGTTTATCAACGTGAGCTAATACTAATACTTGCATGTGGGAGTCCTGGTGTGGTACTGCAGGAATAGAATTGGACTGCTAACCACAGGGTCAGTGGTTCAAACCAACCAGTTCCTTGGAAACTCTATACAGGGTCACGATGCATCCAAAACAACTTCACAAAAATTAACAACAAAAGCCTTAAAAACAAGGCGGGCCAGTAGTTAAGCACTTAGTTGCTAATTAAAAGGTGGGCAATTTGCACTCATCAGTTGTTCCACAGGCGGAAGATGCAGCAGTCTGCTTCTGTAAAGTAACAGCCTTGGAAGCCCTCTGGGGCCGTTCTACACTGTCCTAGAGCTGCTGTCAGAAGTGACTCAATGGCAATGGGTTTTATTCCTAATAGCAGGGCCTCTGGTATACAGAACTACCTGGCAATGTGCAGCGGCACTACTTAAACACTGTTGTTGTTGTATGTGCCATCGAGTCGGTTCCAACCCATAGCAACCCTGTATAGGGTTTCCAAGGAGCAGCTGGTTAAATACTAAAAGACATTATTTCAGACCATTCAATTGCTTATCTTAAAGAAGGACCTTACCTAATTGGAAGCTCTTTCCCCTCTTTAACAACAAATTATGAATTGCAGTCATTGACTAGTCACAAGGAGATCACACAGGATCCAAGCAGTGCTGAGTTACCTTGTACATGGAGATGCCATAACAAGGGTGTGGATTTGAGAGCAGCTAGCAACAATCACAAACTCTGCAGTATTATTTGTATCGTCACTAGCATTGCAATACCTAATTTAGTTGGCATTTAACATTTTGGGCAAACTCTCATTCTTAATCACAACTTCTCTCATAAGCTTTACTACTGATTTCTTATTATCTTGGTCCCATTATTTTAACGAATGTTAATGGCAACAAGAAGAATCAGAAAAAGCAGACTGAAAAATTCAGTGTATGACTATTAAGAGATTTATGTTCCAAGATCAGAGTCTGAATATTTGTTTTCTTGAGCAATGCTTCTTTTTCGGAGACATATCTGAAGAGTTACAAGTTAAAATAGAGTTTTAAATTAAATTACCAAGGAGCTCTGGTAGCGTAGTGGTTACGAATCAAGCTGCTATCCTCAGAGTTAGCAGTTCGAAACTACCAGCTGTTTCACGGGAGAAAGAGGAGGCTTTCTGCTTCCGTAAAAATTTATAGCCTCAGAAACCCTGTACAGGGTCGCTATGAGTTGGAGCCGACTCCACGGCACACAACAAACAAACAAAAAAACAACATCAAGTTATCAGTTATCAACAGATGGCAACAACACACAAAAAAAGGATTCTCCTTTTCTTAAAAGCAGGGTGGAAAGCTATCATCTTCCGATTAGAAATGAGTTATGAACATGATTTGGTTAGCAAATAGATCTTCACCTTTGTCTAAATTTACATTACTTCAGGTAGACAATCCATCCAACTCATTACCACTGTTGTTGTTGTTGTTGTTGTTGTGTGCAGTGGAGTCGGTTCCGACTCATAGCGACCCTGTACAGACAGGGTTTCCGAGGCTGTAAATCTACGGGAGCAGAAAGCCTCATCTTTCTCCCGCGGGACAGTTGGTAGATTCGAACTGCTGACCCTGAGGTTCGCAGCCTGATTCGTAACCACTACGCTACCAGAGTTCACCACTAGACAACAAAAAAGGAGTGTTACTAACAAGATATTATTTTTTAAGAGTTTAGAGAACGGAATGTAAATTAGTCACTACCAAAGACTTTTAAATTTACTAGCAGTAAGTACTCTTGCTATATAGGTTCAACTTACAGACTTTCTAAGGATTCACCATACTGTTAGCGGTCCACAGAACCTGACAGACTCAGAGGTGATGAGATCCATATATCTACAAAAACTCGTAAACTCTGCATACAACTACATGCTCTAACAAATTCTTATAATAGTCTAACAAGTGATGGTAGATTCACTCTTCATGTGATTAAGGTATTGTTCTTTTTTTATGTTTTATTGTGAATTATGTAATAGTTTACATGGGAGAACATTAGCTTTACATTCATCCTATCATATATCGTTACATTGTCATGGTTACAATTCCCTCCATGCATCATCAATCAACCAAAGGGACCGCAAGCCTGCCCCCGGTCGTAAGCACCCAGCCCCTCTCCCTCTCTGGGTCTAGAGTCCCCAGCCACTCTATCTCTCCATGTCATTGTCTCTGCCTTCATCTCTGGCATCACTGTTTCTCTGGGTAGGGTCCCGCACTTCGTTCTTCTCCCTTGATGGTCCCAGGGCCCTCCCGCTCCTGGACTGCAAAGTCAATGACTCCCCTCTTTCTGCTATAAAACGTCTACCTTCACATTTCTAACCCTCAGTCAGTCCTGATAATTATTCACTATTGTACCACATGAGTGCCATCCCCATCTCCTTTCATCAGCCCCATCCAGACAGATTGGATACTACACAGTGGAGATTTTACCTTCCTCTGCACCCTCTGGATCTAGGCTCCCTCTTGAAAGCTTGTAAGCCAGTAACTTCTTGCCTTTGTAGCCCTCATCCCCCAATTTTGGGTAGCCAATGTCCAAGTTGCCCGTCTAAGGTATTGTTCTTAATACTGCAAATAAAATTATGAACCAAAACAGATACAGGCTCAGATCAGAGAGAGTTATTCTACTGGGGATGATACACGTTAACCAAATACCACCATACTAAATGTCCTAAAGGCTCTGGTAGCATAGTGGTTAAGAATCGGGCTGTGAGTCACAAGGTCAGCAGTTCAAAACCATCAGCTGTTCCGCGGGAGAAAGATGAGGCGTTCTGCTCCTGTAAAGATTTACCGCCTTGGAAACCCTGTACAGGGTTGCTATGAGTCGGAACCAACTCCACGGCACATAACAACAACAACAAACAACAACAAATGTTCTAAAACAAAATACAACAATACAAACTGAAATTTAAAGAAATGAAAAAAAAAAAGCAATTCTAGATAGTATAAACAGGGAAAGCTTCCCAGAAAAAGTTGCACTTCAACAGAGATTAGAAGGATGAGTAGTTATTAAAAGCATAATCAAGAAATTCAAAGTTGGCCTAACTTGGTAGAGTAAGTGGCAGGGAGAAAGGTGATTTATGTAGGCTACAGTGATAGGCATAGGCCACAACATGGAAGGTGTAAGAGGCCACAACTGTGGTCATGATCCTAAGGCCAACAAATAGGATCTACGCAAAGGAATAACATGATCAGATACATGCTCTTAAAAGATTACTGTTGTTGAGAAACGGATAGCAGGTTAGGAGGAAAGCAAATGTAGTTAGTAGGCCATACAATAGATCACAAACTAAGATAGTGACAGCTGTGTTGAAAAGACATGGGTGGACTGAAGGTATATTAAGAAAGTAAGGCAGACAGAACTCATGAATTAAACACAGAGGCAGGGAAACGGTGTTAAGGATGCTTCCTTGATCTCTGGCTTGTGCAACTAAAAGGACATGGGAGCTTCTGAAGAAAAAGAATACACATACATATGTTGTTGTTAAGTGCCGCAAGTTGGTTCCAACTCATAGCAACCCTATGTAGGTTTTCTGAGGAGTGGCTGGTGGGCTTGAACCTCCAACCTTAGTTAGCAGGCCAGTGCTTACCCTACAGCACCACACCAGGACTCCAGTCATACAGGTAGGAATGAATAAAGAATGAGAAGAGAGTCAAGACAATATTTGAGTTTTGAGAATTTCAAGACAGACTTGCAAGCAACACAAAGCTGAAAAGGATAGCCACACAAGTCCTAGGATGACTGACAGGGAAGGTACCACATCATGAACCAAGGGAAACAAGTTACAAAGACTAACATGGAATACAGAAGATAGCTGAATAACAACTTTGATATGCTAAGGGAAAATAATCACCAATATAAACTAGATCCACCAAAAGTATTTCTTAAAAACACTGCATAAAAGTAAAGATATTTTCAGAAAAGTAAATTCAAATTGAATTTATATTGTACTTACACTTAGTGATTCATCAAAGACTCTCATGAGTTTTCCAGTTAAAAATCTGAAAATTCTAACTTTTCTATCAGAACCAATAGTGGCTATTTTCTTCCCATCAGGTGAAAAACATATGCTGGTTGGATAAGCTTTACACTTTGCAAATTCATATAAATCTGTGTCAGTTTTATATTCCCAGTTCACATTTTTGGGGAATTTATATTCATGAGGAGGTCCAGTCCAGTATTCAATCATTCCAGATTTGTCAGAAGACACTATAGCTTTGTAAACTGGGTTTAGCCGTATCTGAGTAAGAGGTGATGTATGGAGTTTATCAAAAACATGAAGTGGCTGATTATCTCCTCGACCATCATAAACAAAAATTTTCCCTGTACTCTTCTCAGAAGCAGCAACTGAAGAGATGGCATCCCCTGGGCAATAGATCCACTCACATTGTCCAGGAAAATAGCTAGAAAAGTCAAGAATTGAGGGGTGAAAATAAATCAGTACATGTATGCATGCCTACCATCACCACCCAAAGAGTGTCACAGTCAATGGCTTAGTCAGTTTTGGACTACTTGCTCAAAAGCAGGAAAGGAATATAGAATGGATAGAAAAGCTAAGAACACTTAGCAAAATTTCTTCTCTGCCTTCATCAGTACAATGCTGATAATTTCTGAGGATCTAGAATACCATAGATAGTACCACAGTATAGTAGGCCATTTACTTCCCTTTGGTAGACGAAGAAAGCTAATCAGTCCTGAACCTTAGATATTGTGGGGTACTGCCTTTTGAATATCTGCCAAACAGTCTTTGCATAATTTACTTTTGAATAGAAAAGCATGTAACAGTATATTTTGAAATCATATATGCTCTTAAAGCATTAAAGAAAAAAATATTTTAATCATGGCTATACTCAACAAGGAGTCCTGATGTGGCGGTGTGGGTTAATGCACTAGACTGAAAGGTCAGTTTGAACGGCAAAAGGGTGGCAGTTCAAGCTCACCAGATGCTCCTTGGAAACCCTATACAAGGTCACTATGAGTCAGAACTGACTCCACGGCACTTAACAACAACAATAATAACATACTCAACAAAAAACATTTTCATATCCACTATTATTATTATTACCTGATCTTCATATTAAAGTTGTAAGTTTGGGGCATGCTACCTGATAAACAAATTGTAAAAGATTTAGGACAAATTCCGTCAATATACCAAGCTTAAACATAGAAATGAGTGTTGTTTTCTTCAAATTAATTTATTTTAACCATATTGGTGATGTGCAAAAACCTTTTTGGACTTTTATAAGACAGATGATAAACTTAAAGTAATTCTATTTTCTATAAGAAATAAGTTGTGACCATAAATAATGAAACATTTACTTTAGTAAATTTTGAAGGAAATTCCAAAAGAATTCCCAAATTGCTTCTCATGCATCTAAAAGTTTCAAACACTCATTCATTTAAATATGTGTAAGTTAAGTTTGTTATTTTAAACACATGCAAAAGGGAAAATATTAGTCTTATTACTGTACCATCTACCACATAGTTTGGTTATTAATATACTCCAACACATAAAAAATAATCATTAACAAATAAATCCTACTCAAAAAATGTGCTTAAGCATTGTAAGAACACAATACCATAGGCCTGAAATAAGTACAAGAACATTAATTTACCAGTAAATGAAACATGATGAATCCTCATTAATTTACAAAAAGCTATTAAACAGGCACAATGAAGCATGGTTATTTGGAAATTTCTGCCGTGATCAATAATGACAAACATCACAGCAGAAACTTTCAAGCAGCAACACAATAAGCATTTGTTTAACCTAATTTTTCCAAGTAATACCCAAGCCAAGGCACATTATTTAAAATAGCATTGTAATATATTTTGTTTAGAAATAACCTTTGAAATGGTTACCTTTGGGTTAAAATTTATTTCATTAAGTTAAAACATAGATACTTGTAAATAAAAGACTCACCCAAGTTTCAGCATATTGATCATGTCAAAGTTCACTACGTCAAACACCTTCATTGCTTTATCATCACCCACCGAACAGAGCAAGGCCCCCTCAGAGCTAACTGCAATACTCTCAATAACTCCTATTTAAACAAATCAAATTAAAACATCCTAGTGAATAGCAGTGCAGTAAATGTGAATAATTCAAAGTAAAAAACAAAACAAAACAAAAACCCAGTATTTTAAAAGAAACTTTAGAGTTATTTAAATGAGCACTATTGAAATAAAAAACACATGAAATTCTTACCCAGATGGCTACGAAAATGTTTAACAAATTCAATTCCCTCTTCTATTTTTTTCCAAAACTTAACATGTCCATCATGACTGGCAGTAATAATAAAATCTGTCCTGCATACATAGAATTTAAAAAAGTAATTATCAAGAGAGATCCAGTAATCAATCAGTACCCCCAAAATAATCATTCACTGAGAAACTAACAATTTTACAGTACTAGGGATCACTGGACCTTAGGGTCCTTTAACACTAAGATTACTTACAAGCAGTCTAATTTACTTTAATATTTTGCCAAAGTTGATAATCAAATTTCACATTATTTTCATATACAGCAATATTTAATGTCTGGTTTGTATTCTATATAAAATATATTTTTAAATTATTTATATATCAAAAAGACTTTATACAGAATAGTTTCCCCTTATAGCATATAAGAGAATCCTGGTATGAAGCTGTATGATAAGCACTGGACTGCTAACCGCCACATAAGCATTGGACTGTTAATGACTAGTTTGACGGTTCAAACCCACCAGTCGCACCTTAGAAACCCTAATAACTTGATGGCACTTAACTTCACGGCATGTAAAACCAGAAACCATTTGCTGAAAACTAGTATATTTCATACATGACTTTAATCTTCATAGAAACTCTATTAGGCTAGATCTTTTTATCACCAGGGAATTCTGGTGGCATAGATAGTTGAAGTGCTTGGCTGCTAATCAAAAGGCTGACAGTTTGTGTCTTACAAATATTGGTTTTCCTTGCCTGCTACTGTAATACAGACACTTGAGTGGGATAGAAAGGAATATTGGGAAACATGATTACAGAAAGCTTGTAAGCCCATCTTCCACCTATAACTGACTGGAATAGCTAAAAGGGGTTCTAGAACTTGCCCAGTGAAATAGGCCACTTGTGGAGCCTTTGCAGTGTATAGGAACTTTGGTGCAATCCTGAGCCCCATCCAGAACGTTCTGAGGTGGGATAGTCCCACTAGAAAGGACAAGCAGAAAAGCCTGGAACAGCTAGAACAACAGAAAATACATCTTCAAAGAAAGATCATCAGGAAAAACCCAAAACAAAAATGTTAGTATGACTGGCTACTACAAGAATAAGCAACTAGTTCACTGGGAAGCCATCAAGGCAAGCAATCAAGTCCCTTCAGGACAAAACCCCCTCTAAGACTGAAGCTCAAAGGGAACACATGAGCAGGCATGTAAGCTTGCTGGTGACCACATTGGTCTACTGGTGAGTGGAAGAGAGGGAAAGGCAGCAATGAAGAAACGGGCTGACTTCATTCACAGTCCATAGACTCCCAATGACCTGGAAACGAGAGAGAGAAGAGGAAGGGCTGGTTGGTTCAAAGTGTGGTGAGACCTGGGGACACCTGAGCCCATGGACAAGGACATAGCCACAGACGGCTAGAGCTGAGAGTGAAGTATCCAGCTGATATGAAGTGAGGGGAGATGCACAAGAACACCCAAACTTGCAAATAGTACCCATTTGACCTAGCCGCAATGGCTTCATAATCAGAACTCGACTAGAGGAAGATAAAAAATAAACAATTTTTGATAAAGGAAATGAGGGTAAATTGCTACAATTTGATGAACTTGACCTATATTCATGGAGGTAGTAGCTCAAAATACCAACAGAGAGGGAAGGAGTCTTCACATCAAGTATCAATGCTATCTCCTCTGTACACAGGGTAGATAGGGATGGGCAACTTAGACATTGGCTACCTAAAATGAGGGGGTGATAAAGGCATTAAGTGACTAGCTTATAAGGTTTCAAGAGGGAGTTTAGTTTAAGAGTGTGTGGGGGAAGATAGAGTCTCCACTGAATAGTTTTCATCTTGTCTAGATGGGTCTGTTTAAAAGAGACGGGGATAAGATTCTTAATAATTCAATCGTGAGTAATTCTTACCATGACTAATTCCGACTGTCACAACTATAAAAGTAGAAGTTTTGTTATCAAAAATGGAGGAGTAATTAATCTTACAGTCCAGAAACAGAGAACCCTAGGACCATCAAGGGAGAAGAGCACAAGCAGAATGCAATATCTTATCCAAAGAAGCAACAACACCAGAGAGGGAGCAGCTGAGGACTCTAGATTTATGGTAAGAGAGGGACTAAGAGCTGGTGGCCAGGAGGCAGACTTGCAGAATGTGCCCTTTGGTGGTTTAAATTATTATACATGCCTGAGTGTTGTTGTTGTTGTTTTTAAAAGAGCAAAAATAAATAGAAATACTGTTAACTTATGGTACATGGAAGGGATTATAATCATTGTAATGAAACAAAGTATATGATTTGTTGAATGTAAAACTGATGATCTGCCGTGTAAACTTTCACTCAATTCACAATAAAAACTTTAAAACAAAAAAGGTTGGCAGTTTGAACTGTCATTCCATGGGAGAAAGATCTGGCAGTTTGCTTCCAAAAAGCGTGCAGCCTTGAAAACCCTGTGACACAGTCCCATTCTGTCCCATGTTGTTGTTAGGTGCTATCGAGTTGGTTCTGATTCATAGTGACCCTATGAATCCTGCACCATTCCTCACAATTGTTGTTATGTTTGAGCCCACTGCTGCTACTGTGTCAATCTTCATTGGGGGTAGGGGGGATTCCTTTTTATTCATTGGCCCTCATCTTTAAAAGCACGATGTCCTTCTTCAGGGACTGGTTCCTCTGAAAACACGTCCAAATGAGGGACAAAGTCTGGCCATCCTGGCTCCCAAGGAGCATTCTAGCTGTGCTTTTTTCAACAGAGATACCTTTGTTCTTCTAGCAGTCCATGGTACTGTTAATATTCTTCTCCAACACCATAATTCAAATGCATCAATTCTTCTGTGGTCTTCCTTATTCACTGTCCAACTTTCAGACGCATATGAGGCAATTAAAAACACCATGTTGTTAAGTGCCATCGAGTCAGTTCTGACCCATAGCGACCCTGTCTAGGGTTTCCAAGGAGCAGCTGGTGAGCTTGAACTGCCGACCTTGCAGTTCAAACGGCTTTGCAGTCTGGTGCATTAACCCACAGCACCACACCAGGACTCCAAAATACCATAGGGTCACTATAAGTGGAACTTGACTCAATGACAGGGGATATTTTTAATCACCATTTTGTTACTGGTGGTGGCGGCGGTGTGCGGTTCCAACTCATAGCCACTCTGTAAAGGATTTCTGAGGCTGTAAATCTTTATGAGAATGGAAAGCCTCACCTTTCTCCCACAGAGCGGCTGGTAATTTTGAACTGCTGACCATGAGGTTAGCATCCCGACTTGTAACCACTACACTGCCAGGTCCTGGGCCATCCTCATAATCACTTCTAAGTCTAAGCACATTGTTGAAGTCCCTATGTCAATCCATCTCATTGAGGCTCTTCCTCTTTTTCACAGACCACCTAATTTAGCAAGAAGACTGATGTCCTTTTCCAGGGACTGCTCTATCTTGATAACATAATAACATGTTTTAGGAGCATTCTGTCTGTACTTCTTCCAAGACAGATTTGTTTGTTCTTCTGACAGATAATGGCATATTTAATATAATTCAAATGCATCAATTCTTCTTCACTCTTCCCTATTCAGTGTCCAGCTTTCACATGCATATGTTGTTGTTAGGTGCCATCGAGTCAGTACCAACTCATAGCAACCCTATGCACAAAAGAACAAAACACTGCCTGATCCTGCACCAACCTCACAATTGTTGCCACACTTGAGACCATTGATGCTGCCACTCTGCCAATCCATCTCGCTGGGGGTCTTCCTC